AGATGCTGTCCCCCCTCCCAGTTCCCGCCCCCACACACAATCCTCTTATCCCATCCCCCCTCTCCTGCCTCTATGAAGGTGCTCCCCCACCCACCCACCCCCATCTGCCTCACTGCCCTAGCATCCCCCTAAGCTGGGGCACAGAGTCTCCACAGGACCAAGGGCCTCCCTTGCCATGGTGTCAGATAAGGCCATCCTCTGCTACACGTGTATCTGGGGCCATGGATCCTTTGAGAAACACTTCAGACACATACCATCATAAGTATTCTCCTTTGTGTTCAATGTAAACTTGTATCACGTGGGTTTCAGTGAGCAATATGGCTTCAATTCTATTGTGACTGAAACCCAACAACAAAGAGGCATATCCAGTGCAGTCTTCTGAAATTAGCTTCCTTCATCCAGTGAAACACCAACTTGCCCAGATAACACACAGTTATGGTGTGTTCCTTTTTAAAGATGGATGCAGTCTGAGCAGAGTGCTATAATTTATTCACATTTCTGAAATGAACACTTGGGTTATTTTGGTAATTTTTTTTTTGTGTCACAAGTACAATGTTGCCAGTACAGATTTACAAGTATTTTGTTTAAAAGGAAAAGATATATACCTATACCCAGGAGTGGGATTTATATAAAGATACACATATGTGTGTACACACATACATCTTCAACTTTATATTTCCACTTTCCACTCAAAGTGATTAGGTACATTTCCATCTCCTCTGACAGTGTGTGATATCGATCAGATTCCCACCTTCCGAACCCTTAGCATTATTGGATTAATATCGATCAACTTACCAACCATAAAATCTCAACACTCTCAGTCTTCATCTGCAATTTATAGACTAATAATATCCATGAACAATATTTATATTTTATTTGCTGTATAGATTTAATGTTACGCTCTATGTCTACCCGACAGTTTTTATGACTCTATTGATTTTTAGCACTAGGGATTGAACCCAGGGTCTTGTTCTTGGTGGGTACTTTGCCACTGAGCTAATGTCCCCAGCCCCTATTTTATTATATATAAAATATATATTATTTATTATATATATGATATACATATCATATATAAATATTGTACACATGCGCACGCTTGAGCGTGTGTGTGTGAGGTCTTTGGGACTAAAATGGTTAACTTCAAGTATTGGTATGTTCTCCCTCTGTTGGTAAAATGTTTGTGTATAGTATTGTGTTTGTGGGATGAGAAGGTTACAGGGCACTTTCAAAACTCTTATCTCCCTCTGTTCAACTTTAAAAAGACATGATAGCTATTAGCATTCTTGATTTACAGGTAAGAAAACTGAGCAGCCTTCCCTGTGTTTAGGGCTAGGTTCTTCAGACTCAGCATCCTGTATCCTTCGTAAGATTATATGCTGCTTCAGCTGTTTGTAGAGTATAGCTTATTCATTAAAAGAATCTCTCTCTCTCTCTCTCTCTCTCTCTCTCTCTCTCTCTCTCTCTCTCTTTCTCCTCCATTTCCTTCTTTCTCCCACCCCTTTCTCCTTTCTCTTTTGTATATAATACAAAGTAGAACCCCTTTATAGAGTTCATTTTAATTTCATAGTCTACAAGATGAACTTAAGAGAAGTAAAGAAAGCCCCAAGGTAATTTTCATTAAATTAAAAAACACTCTATTTATTTATTTGCTTATTTGTTGGGGGGTAGGTCGGACATCTGTATGCAGTAACATGTGTATGGGGAGAGGACAATTCACGGAGGTCAATTCTGTTCTTCTACCATGTGGGTGTGAGAGACAGGTTTCAGGTTTCCAACCTTGGCAGAAAGCCCCTTTACCTGTTAAGCTATCTCACCAACCCTCCAAGATAATTTTCAAATAGTAATTTTTTTGAGATTCTTCAGTGACATAAGAAACATCAGAAGTTGTCTATTCTGCAATAAACTATGTTTTAAGGAAGTAAAGGTTCTGAGTTTAGTAGGGCATGTCTTGAATCCCAATGCTCCAGAGGCAGAGGCAGAGGCAGAGGCAGAGGCAGAGGCAGAGGCAGAG